GGCTTCAACTCAAGCATTCAAAACATTGCCCATGCTTATTTCCATTTTAGGAAGAAAGTGTACATTACCATTTTGGAAAATTAGCTTTATGAACAAAATTTGTTCTTGAGCTTTTCACTTGTTCTCTTCTGATCATACACGACCTATAACCCAAAAGAAATTTGTCTCAAGCCTCTAACAAGTCAGCCCATGCTTGTACTTTACCTTGAAACCATATTTTCACTTTTCTTCAAAATCAAGTAACATAGCCATAACTTGTACTTGTGTGATTATGACCCTCTAAAAGCCTCACATACTTTTCCTTACTTATGCACAAGTCATTTGCATCAAAATACACACATACACAAGCCCTTAAGCTCCCCAAAACTTAGAACTGTAACACAAAACTTCATTCTTGCATAATCTGACCAAAAACTTGAAACTCGCATCTCCCTCGTGCGTTTCCAAGCCTTTTGGTTCCTAAAGCTTCTAAACATCAAATGCAACTCATCCCTGACCCTGTTTCATAACTGTAACTCCATCTTCATCAACCTCTATAACCAAAAACAGAGCTCTGCAAGTTGACTTCTCCAGAACTCCTCAGCCACTTTCAGCTCAAGCCAAGCATCACATTAGCTTTCTGGGAACTTAAGGAAGCTAATCCAATCACTAGGACTCATTGAAAGTTGCTCAAGCTCAAAACACGATACCCTCTTGCAAGGTGAGTTTTCTAACTTTTGAAATCTTCATATAGGCATCATTTGGTTTCCATTTGTGAATATAAAGTGTAGACATCATAGCCCTGAAACTAACCATGTCCTTAGAATTCATTTATGTTGCCTGAGTAATGAGAATTTTAGAGTTGAAATTTCTGAAAAAATTAGGTCAGATTTGGTACCATTCAAAATTCATGCTCATCTTTGATTTATAGCTTTAGTTATTTATATGACTGAACTCGTGATGAAATTTAGAGCAAGTTTCATGTTTGTACTTTTGCAAATGGTTAAGAGATGAAGAAGTTACAGGATTTGAATTCATGACTGGTTATGGCGCGAGGAAGAAGATGAAGTCATCTTCAGGAACGTGTTTCAAATATATATTTATGGTTTGACATAAGTTAACGGATGTATCACCACCTCAGTGGTTAAAGCGCGCGCCTGTAACTAGAGGGACCTAGGTTCGAGCCCCAGTGGTACCCTTTTGATTCTTTTTTCATATTTTCTCTCATTTTTTTGTTTGAAGGCAGGCGTTGGGCTCCCTTTTGTTGGGCATGGTATTTTGCTTATCTCATACTCCTTGTTTCACTTTCATACACCCTGGCCCAATTTCATTATCTTTTTCTTATTATATTTTATTTCTTTTCCTTTATTATTATTATTATTATTATTATTATTATTATTTTTTATTGTTATTAATAAAAAAACCAAAAAAATATTTTATTTATTATTTTTACACTTATTTATTTTATTTTGTTTTATAAAATCAAAAGAACAAAAAAATTTCTTAATAAATTAATTTCTTTCTTAATAATTAATATTTAGGTTTAATTATTATATTATATTATGTCAAAATCTGCAAATTTTTCCCTGGTATTTGTCTGATTCTTTGTGGCCTCTAAACTTGTTCATAATCTCCTTCTGATTCTAGAATCATATCACCTTATAGACTTTCTTCAGAAGCTTCACCTTCAAAAGCATGATCACCAGAGTCTTGACCACCAGATTCTATATCAGAATCAGATTCACCTTCAGAATCAGAATCATCTTCTGACTCTGACTCGTCTTCAGAGTCTCCTTATGACTCTGACTCAACTTTAGAATTTTCAGATTCTAAACTATCTTCAGAAGATACCTCAGGTGTTAACACTATACCAGAGTTGGATTGAGACTTGCTCCAATCCCATGCTTCTGACTCCTTCACAATGACGTCTCTGCTGACTTCGATTTTATTAGTGACTGGACAATAAAGCTTGTACGCACCTGTATTGTGGTACCCAATCAACAACATTACCTTGCTTCTATCATCCAACTTCTTTTTCTTAGCATCTGGAACATATTTGAAACAAACTGAACTAAATACCTTTAAATGACTCACATTTTGCTTATCTCTAATCCTATTCTCTATTGGAATAATTTCCTTTAGCTTCTTTGTTGTATTCCTATTGAGCACATACGTTGAAGTGACAACAGTTTCTCCTCACAAGGTGTGAGGTGGCTTCTTCTCTTTCAGCATGCTCCTTGTCATATCAAGTAAAGTTTTATTTCTTTTTTTAGCAAGACCATTGTGTTGAGAAGTGTATGGAGCAGTAACTTCATACTCAATTCCATTCTCCTCACACAACTTCTGGAACTATGTAGAGTTGTACTCACCTCCACCGCGAGTTCTGAGAATTTTCAGCTTCTAACCACTCTGTTTCTCAGTCTTCACCTTGAACTTCAGGAACTCAGTAAATATCTCATGCTTAAACTTGATGAGTGTTATCCATGTCATTCTTGTTAACTCATCCACAAACGACACAAAATAATTATTTCCTCCAAGTGAAGGTTCTAGAAATGGTTCACATACATCAGAATGTACTACTCCCAGAGCATGTTTTTCTCTTGGGACTACTTCTGACGCAAATGGCAATCTGGGTTAGTTTCCTTTCATGCATACCTCATATGACTTCTCAGAGTTCACAATATTCAGAATGCCATGTACCTGCTTCTTAGAACTCAGATGCCCCAATCTCTTGTGCCACAATTCACTATCACCTTCAATGCCTCCTGCACTAGGTGCCTATAATGGTTGACTCTTTTCCCTCCAAACAGATGGATATTGTGCAATATTGTCGTGTCTCAATCGATCTTGTTTATCAACCATAATTCCTGTAAGTAAATCACACCACAAGCGTTACACAACTAGTTCAATTCAAAAAAGGCAAAAATAAATGTAAACTACTATACTACGGAGATGCATCTTCGGGTTCTGGGTTTCCAATCGTTGCAAAATTTCTGAGATGCATCATTGGAATACAATCTCCAAATCATCAAAAATACTGCATTGATTAACAAAACTACCTGTCAAACTATAATGTATAAGCTATCAAACATGTATAATCTATCTATTTCATAACATAATCATTAGTTTTTACAAATTTATACAAAAACTCAATAAAGTTTAGAAAAACCAATAACTTACTAAACCGTGTTGGATGAACTCTTTGATGGACTTGATGTTGATGGAGGAAGTTTTGAAGTTGCTTGATTGCTTGAATGTGGTTTGAGAGAGTTTGAAAAATAACGAAGTTTAGAGTTTTTTTTTAGAAGTGAGGAATGAGAAGGAGTTCTAGCATGTTTTTGAACAAATAACGTCATGAGATGCATCTCCGTAATGTATACGAAGATGTATCTCCGTAATATTTTATTTTTATTGAGTTAGGGTCTGATTCAGAAATATATTGAGTTATGGTGTGCCCGGAGATATATCTCCAAAATTTAAAGATATTATTGTATTTTCACGAAATATACTAATAATACATAAGGTGCATTAAGAAATCCCCTTAAAAAAAGGATCTTCCATTACAAATAGGTGACGTGGTGTTTGTCAAACTCCAACCTTACGGGACAACACTCTTAGACTCTAAGAAGGAATAAAAAATGGTATTTTAGCCCATTCACTTTCATTGCTAAAATTGGAGGATGATTTCTTTTTTCACCCTATAATTTTCTAGCGCGTCACACGAAATTACAAATTTTTTTGTAGAAACTGGAAATACATTTCTAAAACGCACCAAGATTTGATAAAACCTGAAACTAGAATTCAATTTTTAGTTTGTATTCGAAACTATAATTCCGGTTCTGTTTTTGCCTTTGAATAATGTAAAACCACATTTGATTTGTTTGTGTGTGATGCATGATACACACTTAAAATATATTTCTAATTTCTAAGAAGCATTTTAGAAATTACGTAGGGTTTTTCTTTTCACTGTAGAGTGGAAAAAGAAATTCTCAAATTGGATAGGTGGCATCCAAACTCCAATTACCTGGGAATTTTGTTCCATTCACTATCATTGCTAAAATTGGAGAGGTGGCATCCAAGCTCCAACTACCTGAGACTACAAGGATAGTATTTTACTCCCAACTGAAATTGTTTCAAGGAAGTACAAGGGAGCAATATATGCCATTACCACTTACTATGGAAGACATTAATCATATAGTTCAACCCGTGAAAGTTTTGCAAGCAAGACTCTGTTACAGGGAGCAGTAAGAATTCAATACTACAGCTGCAGAGGCAACCTGGGAATCAATTGCAGACATTCAACTTAATTTTCTTACTTTCAACCTGGAGTACAGGTTGTCGGGTCACACGAGAAGCAATGGGATACGTCGCAAGGGAACCTTCTAATTCTGTTGCAGAAGATCCGGGAATCAGCTCGAGGCACTAGGAAACGGGGTGACTAATAGAAAATTGGAAGGCTATGTGTATAATGTGAGTGTGGAATTTGTATGAAGTTTTCTTATCTCTCTTTCTTTCTCAATTCTAATTTCCTTTCCAGCAACTACCTCCCTGTAATTGAAATTTTCAGTGTATTTCAATTTTCATTCATTGTGGAAAATTGAGAATCAGCAATAAAGTTCCCTTTAGTACACTGTCAAACATATAAATAAGGAGAATCATAAACTCAATGTCTTAAACTTATAGAAGAATCATAAAATATAGTAATGAGTTTCAAACGCTACACGTGTTTATCATTCTATGTTCTTTCATTCAAATTTTAGCCCTTAATATGGGATACAATGCTTTGAGATGATACCTCTAAAATGTTAATTTGAATGCAGCAAACAGGACTGCCATGCTTTACAAATAAATAACAAATTTTTCAAAGGAAAAAATGTTATCCTTCCTATTATTTTCACATTTGATTGTTTCGGCAAATTTGCCGGAATTAATTTGAAGCTATCTCTACTTATGATACTCTTTGGAAGGTTGAAATCCAAAACCTTTTTTAACTTATTGGAAGCGGTAAATAACTATAACTATCAGATGAAGTCAGGTTGGCCGGTTGAAGTCAAGCAACGATGCCACATACGACTGTTAGGGTCCACCAATCGGGGATGCGATATAACTTCGGGGATGGGGAAGTAAGCATAGTGGGTGTTACATAAACCTACTGTAATGCCGCTATATCCTGCAAATGCACCATGAACCTGCAATGTAATAGCAAAGAATCAACATGGATACATTGAGCTGCATATGCAGGTAATGCAGATAGAATAGCACGAAATCGACATAATCTCATAGTTTTGAATCTCTTTGTTGCCATTGTAACAAAAAACAAGAAGAGGGAGAGAGACTAACAGCATTTTGTCCAAGTACAGTGCATAAAATCCCATCTGATGCATTTGCTCGACATGCACGGATCATGTATGTTGGATCAATATATTTTACATCAGCATGAACACCAATCTCCTTGAAATATTTTTTTGTCTGAAATACAACATTTGTCAGCATATACTTTATTAAATAAAAAATTAAAATGAAGGAAGCTATTTACATTACAGAAGAAGTCAATGTAAATACAAACCTCTTGTTGTATATATACACCAATATCGCCAAATACAATATTTCCTGATGCATCTTTAGCGTTAGTGTTTTGAAGTAAATTCTGCACAAAAAATTACCAGTTAGACAGTTTCATGTCTAAATATAAAAGTCTTCAAAGAAATTTCAGTAATATTTTTTCCGGGTACCGCTGAAAAAAACTACTAATAAGACTTTTTTTTTTTTGGAACGGAGCAAGTAATTTGTTAATTAGAAATCAATAATCACCTGGCCAGCTCCCTCTGCCACACAGACTACTGCCGATCCCTTCATTTCTAGAAGGTACTGGAGATGCCTTAATATACCATGGGGGCCATGTGAATTAAAAGGCACCTTAGAACCACAGCCAAAAATTGTATCAGTTTATCAGTATTGCGAAAAAAGTGAGACTGCCAAATTAATTTTTACCATACATACCTCAGGTATCAAACATACGTCGACCTGTCCACTAGACAGGGAAGCCTGCATTGCTATGAACCCACTACTACGGCCCATTAATTTCACAACCCCAATTCCGTGATATGCACTATGTGCCTGATAAAAGATGGGGGAAGAAATGCCAATATTTTAATATATACTGCGTCAAAACATTTACTTCATTGAGTGACAAAGAATAAGATATAATTTACGTACCTCGATGTATGCAGAATTAATTGCTCTTTGTGCTTCTTCTACAGCAGTATCAAATCCAAAAGTTTTATCCATCAATAGAATATCATTATCAATAGTTTTAGGCACTCCAATGACAGACACTTTGAGCCGTCTTTTGCAGCACTAAAAGAAATAAAAGTTTCTAGTTCAGAAAGAGGAGGAAAAACACAATTTATTCGCACAAGAAACTCAAAATATCACAAAATCAAAATCGCAGCATTAATTGATATTAGGCTAGAGAATTAATCACCTCACTGTGAATTGCATTTGCACCGGCATGTGTGCCATTTCCGCCCAGTACAAAAAGCATGTTGATCCCTCTCTCCTGAAAATCAATAATATGCATATAATATGAGAAAAATACAATACCGTGTTGTATCGCATGAAATCATCAAGTGGTTTTTGATAGATAAGATCGACCACCTACCTCCAAACTATCCACGATATCATTGACTCCAGGTCCTCCTCGTGAAACTCCTAACAAGCTTCCACCAGATAGATGAATGTTCTGAACTACTTTCCTTGAAAGCTGTGAATGATAAACCACTATAGTTAAAGAATCATTGGGAACTCATGTTCGATGAACTATATATCATTAGATTACTAAACTGATGTTAAACCGAAAACAACGAGGGAGGCATGAGATTACCGGTACTTCTATCAATTCTTTATCAGAAAATCCTCGATAACCAAAAGGAATCCCCACTATCTTTTTTACTCCATATATTTCAAGTGTGATTACAATCTACATCACATTCATTATTTGAACAATCACACAAATAATTTAGCAACCATAATAATTAGCATTACGATTAAATGGGAAGTGAACTAAAAGCTTTTTGAAAAATAACTTCATAAAAAACTAACCTGTCTGATAACATCATTAAGACCAGGGCAGAGCCCTCCACAAGTGACAATTGCTGCCTTTACTTCTTCTGGTTTATAGTATATTTTTTCCCGAGGCCCCGCTCGATGAACCCTAACAAGATTTCAAAAACTCACACCATATAAGCTAATATTTGAGAAAACAATATTTTACATGTCATGACATTGAAACCAGAATATATAAGTAACTCAATTATCTTATAATCCAGAAATAGAAGTTAATTATTAAATAAGCTCCAAGGAGATTATGATATACACACCCTAAATCAGCTTACAAGACGATATATGGAAACATAGAAACAATCATATATAACTGACTGGAATATGTTTAAAATTGGGGAAACAAATTCTTTACCATTGTTCTACCCAAGTACAATTGGGATCAATGCACTCAGCACCAGCAGATTTAGGTGACGAATAGTTAATTGTCTGAAAAACCAAAGCAACATTCAGAACCAACCACAACAATCAAATCAAATGTCTAACAACAGTAGCATGTCACTGCAATTAAATTGTATCAACTCTCTACAAATTACAGGAGACATCAATTCCAGGATAAGAAAACAAAATGCATAAACTTTATAAGTTAGTCCAACTATGAGAATAAACACTAAACAGATAAACAGCTTTGTTAACATCTAACCAGCAGCCCGACTTAAGTTCTCAGTTTAGGACGGTGTCTAATATAGTTCTTAGTTTTTGGGCTTAACTAAATGGAACAAAACTGATATCTAAGATAAAAACTGTCTAAGCTTTATAAGCCCTATTTAGGTCATATCTATCTGTCACTAGCCCGTGTGAGACCTGAGATTTTCTCAATACATCCTTCACATATTCGGTCTTTTGGCCTGATGTGTAGACAATACACGTGGCCCGATAATTGACTTGAATAAACTTTAAGTACTATGTGTAACACAATCTCACAAAACCAAGCAATAAGGCGACAATTGTCTAAACTTTACAAACCCTATTACATCATACACGCGTCGCAGCAATCGCAATGACCGCAATCAAAACATCTGCAACCTCGTCTGTGACCGCAACCGCAATTTAGAACCATGGATAGTAGTACTGTATGCAAACATATGCAGAAAATGCCTAATTCCACTAAAAATTAATGAAAGCAAACATTAAGGGAAGATAAAAAAACAAGCATACCTTGAGAAGCACTCTATCATTGTTATTAATGTAACCATGCCACTCTTCATCCAATGAATAATGACCTGGAATATCTTTACCAATCGGGGTTCTGTTACAAATCAAACAAACAATATATATCAGATTCCGTTTTAGTGAAGTTAATAAAATTGAAAGAAAAGAAACAAAAGGAACCTCATTTTGAGACAAAAGGTAGAAGGAATAGGAGGAGAATCAGGGAAAATATCAGTGATATGAGGTAGTCGAAAACGGGACTCAAAATCCTGCTGAAACTTGATTTTCCAATCAGGATCATTGAAATCAATAGCTGAGGTTGAAGTGGAATTTGCATGTTCCGCAAAGACGCGAGTATTGTTGAGGATTCTACGGGAGTTGGAGTGAGAGAGACGGAGTGTAGAGGAGCGGGTTTGGGTTAAGTGGTAAAGGTTTAGGTGGGGATTGGTGGCGGTGGTGATCACGTGCGAGATTGAAGCCATTGAAGAGGGATTTGTGAATGTGAAGAGAGTGGTGGAATTGAGGGAATGTAGGAGGAGATGAAGGTGAAGGATGGAACGGTGGAGGATCGGTCGGAGGGAACAAGGAGAGACAAAGACAGAAACAATGAAGTTTGAGTTTGACTTAACAAGATATCGAAGACATAAACATAACATAATACTAGTCAAATTAAGTTGTTACACTTGGTAAATTGTTAAATTAAATGATTTTTAGGTTTCATTTTTTAATTAAATGATCTCAATTATTCTTCTTTTTCTTTTTTTTTTTCTTTCAAAATATATCTCAATAATTATATTTATTTTGTAGTGACCAAAAAGTATAGATGTATATGGTATTTTTATTAGGCTAAAAGATACTCAAATATCTTAATAGGTTTATAATAATTTATAGAGGTTGAGGTTTGTCCACAACAACGGGAAATCATTTATGATAGTATTATAGTATTTACGATGGTTTAGAGGACTTGCTCGTATGAGGTGAGAGATTCTATATGCGAGTGTAGTGCTTGGGGTATGATTGATCTTTAGTGTAAGTTATGATTTATCCTCATTTTAGGAATGAGGTGTTGATTGAAATCTCTTGGACTTGGACTAGAGATTTAGATAATGGTTTATCCTAGCTTCGTGACTAAGGAATACGGTCACGTGAGGACTTGGTCTCCTTGAATTGTGGAGAGAGTGGTTTCTCCTTTTGACTGACCTTTTGTCAGTTATTCATTGTAGGTTAACGTCATCACCCATATTTACTAGACAAGTGGACAAAGAGAATCCGCTCGAAACAATCTTACAACTCATTTTCGGGCGACCATATAGCTTTTTCGGGCGGCCCCTAACTTTACAAGGTAGCTCGCCCCTCACCATGGTGCCTAACCTTCTCACATTTTTCATGGATTATCCTCTATCAATACATAGTCAATAATTTATTTGACTATTTTACATAAATTTTTAAAAAAATAATTTTTTTAAAATCATTTTTACTTATCATTTTCAATTTTTTACACATATAAAAGTTCAATAAACTATATTATAATTGATGTACATTTATATTTCTGGTGGGTGGAGTAGCTTAAGTGTTATTAGTTAGTTGACTTAAATGAGTGTGAACGGTTTATATTATATTTTAATATAAATAAGTGATTCTTCTTCTGTCAAGTTTCGAACCGGGCACCACATTGGTCAATTGTAAACTAATATAAATAAGTGATTGATATTTATAAATTAATAATTTTTTAAAAAGTGAACATTTTTTCTTTATATTATTTTTATTTATGATATATTTCTATCTTTTAATAAATATTTAAGGATAATGTTAACACAATATTAATTAGTATTGTTTCGTTCGAGAATTAGAATTGGTGTTGATTGATGATGTTGGATTCTCGAAATTTCATCAAGACATACTACATTATTTATGGTCTGGATCCAAGTGATGCCAAAATTAAGATCATCTGGCATGTGGGACTCAGTCTGAGGTTGTCGATTGGCTCAAGCCCTTTGATATCTTTCAGGATGACGAGATACCTCTGAAGAATATTTAGCTAGTGGAACCGATTGATATGAGTAAATATAGTTGGGAGGACTCTGAAATATTAGGAATTTCTGCTTTAGATAATCATGCGGTCTTGAGGTTAATTAATATTGAAGTAGGTAGCCATTATGACTGGTTGGTTCTCTGCGTGGAATCAGATAAAAGGATGTACCCTAATTTTGTCAAGAGATTTTAATTTTCTAGGCAATCAGCTTCGCTTTATTTTGTCCAAAATAATAGTGCAGTTTTGCGAACAGGCCGGTTAGAGCTATTCACAAAATCGCGCGTAAAATCAACGAAAGATGTTTTTAGGTTTGAGCCTGCAACTATATATTTTATTGAATGCTACTATGTGTAGATAAGTTCAGCGTGCTCGTTTAATTTTTTGCATTCACATTTTATTCAGTTTGAGTCCTTTTATCTAGATATGTTTAGCTGCAATAAATAATCTACGACTCTATGTCTTACTGAACGCTATTACGCATAGGTTAGTTTGGTGTTCTCATTTAATTTTTTTTCGCAATCGCATTTTATTCAGTTTGAGTCTTTTTATCAAGGTATTTTTACCCGCAATAAATGATTTACGAATGTATGTTTTACTGAACACTATTACGCGTAGGTTAGTTTGATGTGCTCATTTAATATTTTCACAGTCGCGCGCATTCTCATTTTATTCAGTTTGAGTCCTTTTATCCGAGTATTTTTAGCTGTAATAAATGATCTACGTCTATATATTTTACTGAATGCTATTACGCGTAGGTTAGTTTGGTGTGCTCATATATTTTTTCGCATCTATGTTGTAGCACTCCAATTTTTTCCAAGCATTCTAAAATATTCAAAAAATAATAATTGTGAATATTATATATAATCTATTGCATTTTGTTCATTTAAAAAAATTCTAGAAAAAATAAATGGTTGCTTTTATTTTTTATTTCATTTTCTTGTATTTTATTTGAATATATATATATATATATATATATATATATATATATATATATATATATATATATATATATATATATATATATATATATATATATATATATATATATATATATATATATATATATATATATATATATATATATATATATATATATATATATATATATATATATATATATATATATATATATATATATCACTCGTTTCCATCCTTATCATCCATCTCATAAATTCAGTTGTCGCGGTGCAAAAACTATCTGAGCATATGAACGCTCAAAATACAACAGAATTGTCACAGAAGTTTATTTTTTTAAAGGAAAAACGTCGATAAAATTCTAAAAGAACAAAAATATGGTCTTTGCAACTAAATTTGAATTCAGGAGTCAGTTATACGAGAGGAAGGTATTAGCACCCCTCACATTCGTTGTATTCAATGGGAACCATTTAGTTAGCTTAAGGTATTTGTTTTCTTCCAATTATTATTACGTGTTTAAAAAGAAATAAAGGACTAAAAATAGATTTTTTTTTTATTAAGGTGCTTGACAAGATTGCGAGTCTTGCTCCTATGTATCCCTAGTCGCAATGGGAAATTCAAAGCTATGTAGTTCTTTGTAAGAAAAATATGTTTTTGGATTTTTTTATAGTGCTTGACGAGACGTTGAATCTCACTCTTACGTATCTTTTGGTGCAATGAGGAATTCAAAGCTACTTAATTCTTAGAAGCTAATAATTATGTGTTGGTTGCTTTTAGAGATTGATGCTTAGGTTGCATGAACGATTAAATATTGTTTATTGCTCGTGCTTGGAGGCTGAAGTGTTTATTTACTTTCTTCGAAATGAATAAAACACCATTCTTTTGTGAAAAGGTTTTGCGGTCGCTATAAGGCAGAAAAATATTTGATGAGTTAAAGTTAGTTTTATGTGAAAAACAAGTAATCATTTTGAACAAAGTGTACACTTCGCATCCGATTACTCGAGGATCAACTGGATGTACACCTGACACGTCCATTTTTAATCCGAGTTTTAATTAAGAAAATTATTTTTAGTTTTTATCGTAAAAAATAGTTTGATTTTAATGGAAGACGAATGTTCGGTTGGAACAAAGTGTACACTTTGCATCCGATTATTTGGGGATCAAAAGGATGTACATTCAATTGTTCTTTTTAATCTAATTTTTATTGAGAAAATATTTTGAATCCGATTAAATCATAATGAAAAATAAGAAAAGTAACTTAGGGACGCGAATTGAATTAACATACCTAAGACGTAAGGCATAACGTAAAGGCGCAAATTGAATTAACATGCGCAAATTGAGATAACTATGTGAATTATAACACGAGGTCGCGAATTGTAACGCGAGGTTGCGAATTGTAACACTAAGTCCCAAATTGTAACGCGGGATCGCGAATTATAATGCAAAGTCGTGAATTGTAACGTGATGGCGTAACTCAACGCCATATAACGTACAAAACACAATGTTGCACACAAAAATGCAACAAAATGACTGGAAAATCTATTAGAGGGTGATTTAGTATTTTTACATTTTTTGGATATTCTCTTTAGGCCCTATGTGGTATCCTTATCTTTACTAATTTTATGTATAAATAGGTGTACTAGGTTTACATTTAATACAATCAATTCTCTTCCAATCATTTGTGGCAGCTTTATAGCATTTATCCCTTTTCTATCTTCTTCCTCCTTTTCATCACCTTGCACCAACATTGAAATTCTGGGAAACACGAGTGATAGTGAGCTATGTGTTTGATTTTTGGTTCCTGATTTCTGTTGAATCTTGAACAAAAAATCTGAAATAGAATCACACTGATTCTATGGGTTTGAGAAACACTGAGTGTGAATCTGAGATCTGAGTTTTTGTGCAAGGTTTAAGATGAGTGGAGGCAGTAGTTTGAACACTAAACTTCCAATTTTTTGTGGCAAAAGCTGGAACAGATGGAAGATACAAATGTGTGTGTTGTTTGGTGCCCAGGATGTTCCGGATCTTGTTACTGAAGTTTATGTTCCAGTTGCAGCAGATGCTACTGAAGAACAAAAATCTGCAGAAAGAGCTACAAGGAAGAGGGATCAGAAAGCTCTGTTCTATATCCATCAGTGTGTGGATGAAAGTGTGTTTGAGAAGATTGTTGATTCGACGACGTCGAAGGAGGCACGGGATATACTGGCCAGATGTTATGGTGGTAACGCGTCAGTAAAGAAGGTAAAGCTTCAGTCCCTGCGTAAGCAATATGAGAATCTCAACATGAAGAACAATGAGAAAGTTTCTGAGTACATCTCCAGAATAATTCTGATCACTAATGAGATGAAAGCTTGTGGAGAAACACTTTCTGAACAGGTAATCATAGAAAAGATTCTGAGGTCACTTACTCCTCAGTTTGATTACATTGTTGTTTCTATTGAACATTCTAAAAATCTGGAAACCATGAGAATAGAAGAGTTGCAAAGCAGTCTAGAAGCGCAGGAGTTGCGTATGACTGAAAGAACTTCTGAGAGG